CCCCAAAACCCCAAAACCCCAAAACCCCAAAACCCCACTAAAAGACTTTTTTATTGAGACTTTTAAAAATTAGTTTATCGTCGTACTGTGAGGATCCATTGAAAAGGTAAGTTTCCGATGAAGATAAGAGAAGTGATCATAGATGGGTTTAAATCTTACCCAAAAGAGACCATACTTACCGGTTTTGACCCACATTTTAACGCAATCACAGGTCTAAATGGGTCAGGAAAGTCGAATATCCTTGATGCTATTTGTTTCGTGCTAGGTATTACTCATGTAACACATCTCAGAGCTAGTAAGCTGCAGGAGTTGGTGTATAAACAAGGCCATAGTGGAGTAACTACAGCAGAAGTCTCCATCATTTTTGATAACAATGACAAGGATAAGTCTCCTCCTACTCTCAAACACCTCGACGCGGTGACTGTAAGGAGAGAAGTCAAGGATGGTCAGTCAAAGTACTTCATTAACGGTAAATGTGAGACCCAGGATAAAGTTAGAACTTTATTTACCTCAATCCAGTTGAACATCAACAACCCTCAGTTCCTCGTTCTGCAGGGTAGAATATCCAAGATCATCCAGACGCAGCCAAAAGAGTTGCTCTCGCTACTAGTCGAAGCTGCTGGGTTATCTCTTTTTGACATCAAAAAGCAAAATGCCCTCAAGATGATCAAAAGGAAGCAGGCAAAAGTAGATGAGACAGAGTCCTTGCTTGAGAAAGATATTGGGCCCAAATTTGACAGGCTCCAGAAGGAACAGAAAGATTTCATTCGTTATAAAGAAGTTGAAGGATGCATTAAAAAGGTTGGAAAGGACATTAAAATCCAGGAATACCTACTCAGCCGGGACAGAAAATCCAAGCTCTCCCTCTTAGTGGATAAAGAAGTTGTCCGGGTGGACATCCTGAAGGAGAAGATCAAAGAGTCAAAGGAGAAGTTCAACGCTGAGCTTACCAAGCTAAAGAGCATCAAGAAGACAGAGCTGGCACAGCTCAAATCTGATAGTGACAGTGTCGTGCACAAGGCACAAGCCATTGAGAAGAAAATGGTTGAGATAAAGTCCTTGATCAACAGGAAGGAGAAAATGGTTAAGGAAAATGTCAAATCTCAGAAGAAACTCTCCAAATTTATCGAGACATGTGACCAGAACATCTTCAAGGCTAAGTCTGAGAGGAAGGAATACAAGGATCTTAAGAAGTTAGTCAAGAAGGATTATCAATCTAAGAAAGAATTGATGAAGAAAGCTCAGGATAACTTACAGAAAATCGAGGAGGGCAAAGCTGTCAGTATCATTGACCTCCTTCACAATCAGCTCAAGGAGATGGAGAAGAAGGATGGAGTCATTGACAGTGAGATTTGCAAGATCAAGACTTCCATCAAGTTTTATGACAAGGAAATTGAGGAGTCCAAGAAAAAGATCGACAATTTTGACCAAATGAGAGAGAAAGTTACGTCCAAAATTGCCCAGATTAGTAATAAGTGAGAGGACAAGCGCAAGATCATAGACGATCTCCCTGACAAGAAGCGAAGGGAAAAAGACCTCAGAGAGGACATCCAGGAGTTGGAGAGGTCTCATAAGAGACTTCAAAGGGAGATTGAAGAGCTTTCTGTCCAAACGACGCTCAGGGCTACCAAGAGATTACTCAATATCTCTGGAGTTATAGGATACGTCATGGATAGCTTCTCTATAAAGGAAGATAAGTACCTATTAGCTCTTGAAACTATTGCTGGTGGGCGGCTTTCTAACATCGTGACGAAGAATGTCCAGTCTGCCGAAACAGTCATTAATGAAGCAAAGAAGTCAACTGCAAGAGTGTTTGTCTACCCAAATGACAAAATGCGATCGAACCCTCTGTCAAGAGATGTAAAGACGAAGCTCTCTGATAATTATGGAAATGATGCCATTGTGGCTACAGATACGATCGATTTCAACTTTGGAAAGGTTGGAAATAGCATGCTGCTTCTCTTCGGCAGTACAGTTATATGCAAGAACAGTAAGATCGCCAAGGAAATCGCTTTCTCATCTGAATACGGTTACAACTCAGTGACACTTGAAGGTGACCAATTTGAGCCAAGTGGCATGCTTAGAGGTGGGTACACTAAGAAGAAGTTATCCCTACTACAGAGAGTCCAGGATATCAAAAAGAGGAGATGTGATGAAAAGACCCTTCTTGACAGCATTCAAAAGAAAAAGGATGAACTCCAGGTCTGTGTTAACGAAAATAACGTCAGGAGAGAGCATGAGAGAGAGCTTGAGATCCTACTGCACGAGAAGTCCGTCTTGAAAGATCAGATCTCAGGCGAGGACACCAAGCGGAGGTTGACTAAAGAGTACAAGGAGCATGTCGATACTAAGACTATTAGTGAGAAGAAGATCGAGAACTTGCAGAAGATGAAGGAGACCAACTCCAAAGATATCGAGTCTATTCAGGCCGAAATCGATGCGATTAAGGGAACTGAGAACACCAAAGAGGCCTTTGAGCACCAAATCCTGAAACTTCGTGAGGAAATTGAAAAGATAAAGGTCCTGAAGAAGGCCCATCAGAAGGAAATCGACATGACCGATTTCAAGGAAGAAGCCAATACCAAACAGAAGCGAGAGACTGAACGAGACTTTGAAAAGGAGAAAAAGGAGCATGACAGACTTATGCAAGAAAAAGCTGACCTTGAGAATGAGAAGAAGGAATTAGAGAAGGAGAAAGACCTCTTCAGGGACAAAATCAACCGGATTAATGAGAGTCAGAAGCGGCTTAATAAAGATATCAATACTAGTTCGAACAACCAGAAGGAGGAGAGCCAGAAGATCAATAAGTACATGATCGAGCTTACTGATAGAGAGGCTAATATTAAGAAGGCAAAACAAGAACTTGACTCTGTGGACTACACTCTTTCTTCCCTGCTTAAAGAGGCTCCTTGGCTCAACGAAGAATGTGAGACTACCTCTCACAGAAGGATTGGAGAAACCTCTATTCAAAAGATGAAGGTTGATTATAAGAAGATGAAGGAGGAAATTGATCACCTAAGGAAAAGAGTCAACCCTGATGTTAACGAACTTGTCAATGAGACCGAAGTTGAGATGGAAAGACTCACGACTCGGAGAGATATCATCATGCACGATAAACAAATGATTGAGAAAGTGATTCAAGATCTTGAGGTGGAAAAGAAGAAAGCAATTGAGAAAGCTTATGAAATAACCAATGGATATATCCAATCTATATACTCTACAGTGCTACCTGAAGCAAAAGCAAGGATTGACATGGTTAACCAATTCAGTCTTGAGGAAGGAATTGAACTAAAAGTTCAATTCTCTTCAGGCGATGACGTGAGCTTAACCGGGCTCAGTGGAGGCCAGAGGTCCCTCCTTGCTCTATCATTCATCCTGTCCCTTCTCAAGCTGAAGCCTGCTCCATTCTATATCTTGGATGAGATAGATGCAGCCTTAGACACAAGTCACACTAACAACATTGGAAAGATGATTAAGAATCATTTTGGAGAGAGTCAGTTCATCATAATCTCATTGAAACAGGAGATGTTCAATCAAGCAAATGTGAGATACCATGTTTCGTTCAAGGAGGGTATTTCCCAGGTCGAAAGGATCAAGCAAAAGAAGACAATATAACATATGACAGGTATTCTCTTGAATTAGGTACGAACGCGAATGGTCAATTTAGACACATTCTTTGGTCGCGGAAACACTACTTGCGCACTATAGGTATGGGATACCTTAGCTGACTGTAAGAGACAAGGGGGAGAGGCTAAGAGTGAAGTGATGGGAGCAATTGGAAAGTTAATACACATGCTTGTTAATAATTGATAGTTTTGATTAATGTTAAACTTTGGCTATAACGCGTTATGAAATATAATCAACTCCAAGATATCAATGTTCTCTCTTTCTAATTTGATGTACTTTTATAAAGTTTGATTGTAGAGTTGTAATTCCATCTATCTCCTCTAGTTCCCTTAAAACTTCAATATTGATTTTCAATATCCTAGATTCCTTAAGGGGTTTTGGGGTTTTGGGGTTTTGGGGTTTTGGGG